ATCTTTTTGAAACACATAAAATTCAGAGGGGGCTAGCCCTAACCCTATCGACTGGGTAGACTGTGTGAATGTTCATTCCCCAGAGAGAATCTGGTCTGAGGAGGCACAGTTTCAAAATAAGTGCTCTTCCTACTATGACAGAGATGAGGAGGAATACCATTAGCACTGGCAATTCTCTGCCACAGAGAAGAGTGGAGGCTGGATCATTGAAAATATTTAAATTGAGACCGATTCTTGATTGACAAGGGAGTCAAGAGTTATGGGGTCAGGAAGGAGAATGGAGTTAAGACCACCATCAGATCAGCCGTGGCGTTATTGAATGGTAGAGCAGACACGACGGGCCAAATGGACTATTTCTGCTCCTATTTCTTATGTTCATTCGTAATGGGGGAAGATGGAATATTGTGTGAGCTGTAACAGGAAGCTTATCCTCAACCCTGGCTGAAATGTGATATGTTGACTCTTTCTGTGCACCTCTAACATCTCCCCCAGCCCACCCCATAAAGCCGCGTGCAGGTCATTCAGAAAATTTACATGGGAGCAAGGGGTGAAAACGCAGCTGATTTATTTTGGGAAATTCCTCATTCCTTTCTCTCCCCAGAAGCCATTTCTGGAGACCACAGAGTTGCCATTCAGGAAAAGGATTTACATTGCACATTAATATTTGTTGCTTCCATCGGATTCTGCAAGGTGACCTGTGGGAATCAGCTGCAGACAACCTATTTTATCAACCACCATGGACTGAGTGTCGCCAATGATTGGGTTCACTTCGGTCTGGGATCTTGCGGGAAGAATGACTACCTTTTACATTCTTCCAGTAACATATCGACAGACAGCCAGAGTAAACAGTGGGCATCACGCACATGCATTGTCCGCAAGGAGTTGGTAATTGTGACAATGGACGGAAATTACCAATGGAAATGCAGTCAACACAACACAATGAAAGTCAAGTAAGGTACCATCGAGATTCTGTTTCAGGATTAATTATCAAAATGAACCCATGATCCAAGGAAATGCTTTCCTTTTAGTGCCAATCAGTTGATACTGTGTCAAGCCCTCATCCTTTCGTGGCGTTTTTGGACATCGCCTCAATTGTTACTCCAGGCCCTCCCATTTGAACCCTGGTGAGGAGGCACTTTGGGATGCTAAGATGGTGAAAGGAACTACATAAATGGACGTTCCTTCCATCACCCTTCTTTCTTCCCTAGGGGCGGTGCCTCTCTCCTCTCCTTATCTCAGTCAGTGCTAAAATCAGCACCACATCAGCCTGTGGGTAGGGGAGGGGGCAGAGACTGTGAGATCCTTGCTCCTCAATGGCAGGCTAGGATCTAAGTTCTCATCCAATTCTCCTCTAGTCTGAACCCAAATTTAGAAGGTACAGCCCTGCCAAACCAAATTGTCAATGTTCCACACTGTCCTGAAGGAGCTTAATTTTGTTTATTGCAATGAACCATTGAAGGTGCAACTGACACTGAACTATTTTGCTGCTTTAATCCAACTGCTGGTCCAATGTTTGGATTGTTCTGAGGTGAGTAGGATCGGTAGGAATCCCAGCAGCCTTCTTTTCACAGCCTGACTCTACACTGAGTCATCGTGCAAAGCCAACTGTGCTGCTGATTCTAGTCTCTGTGTCTTGTTCTGTTCATAGAATCCCCGTAGTGTTGGAGCAGGCCACTTGGCTGATCGAGTCCACACCGACCCTCCGAAGAGCATCCCACCCAGACTCACCACTGTCCACCCTATCTCTACATATCCTATGGCCAATCCACCCTAACCTGCACATCTATAGACTGTGGGAGGAAACATGCGTAAACTCCACGCAGACAGGCACCTAGAGGCGGAATCGAACCCAGGTCCCAGGTGCTATGAGGCAACAGTGCTAATAGCTGAGCCACCGTACCACCTCAGGTTGCTACATTCAATTTCAACACTTTCTGAAATGGGCCACTTTTCCAATCGCACTTCAGTATAGCTGCAAGGATTTCTTTGGTCAGTTGCATCATGGTTAGTTACAGAGGAAAGCTCTCTCCACTCACTAAGTACCTCAGCAACAAAGTCTACTGTCTCTTTACCTGTACTAGCTGTCTATCGGGTTGAGTGCTGATCTTAGTGTCAAGTAGTTTCAATTTTAACCTTTAGGGAAATGGGGTGAGATTGCTTGAAGCTCATTTCACATGGTCGCTTATAATCACTCTCTGTGCAGTGTCAAAGCCCAAGTCTCACATGTTCAAAGCAGGATCTAATACATCCCAGTTTCTCATTCCATGAGCAAATGTATTAACGTTTAAAGGGCAGTTTATCCGCAACTGGTTTAACAGGAAATTTGATGCCATTGTCTCCACAAACACATCAGTGAGACAAACTGAGAAAATGACCGATTGTCACAAATGGTGGAACGAGATAATTAAGTGGGAATTGTGGCCAAGATTGGGAATGAGTGGTTTTATTTCCCAAGTGGAGCCCAAGGCTTTAGGAAAGCTGTTGAGTTAGAGCACTAGAAGGATGAGCTCAATGGGTTGAATGGCCTTTTCTTGTCCTTGACTTTATCTTATGCCGTGTTCCTGATTTATGCATTACACCTCCAAGTACTATACAAAATGAACAGACCGATTAATTGACCACAGTGACAGGTATGGGCACAATACTCCAAGATACAGACACAGTTAGTCTCACATACAAAGAATGCACTGGCAGAGTTGTCTAAAATGTTTCTTTTCTTTGGCACCAGTTGACGCTTGTGAAATTTTAATCCCTCTCTAACCCTTGCCAGTGATTTGTGTGTTAATCAATGGCGTTCAAGCCAACTTGCCAGTGCCTTGATGATGTTTTGTCTCAGGTCTGGGTTTCTCATCATCCCAGCTCTGGCAAATGGCAGGGTCTCATTGTTGTCTGGGTTAGGGAGAGATGCTCCAAACAACTCTTATTAATAATGAATCAATGCTGCAACGTGCAGGCTCCCTGGGAGCAGACAGACAGCGGTTTTTAGATATTTTCCCCGAATCGAGCTGTTAGGAAATATTATTACACACCTCTAGGAGCAGCTGGGACTTGAACCTGGGTCTCCTGAGTCAAAGGTAGGCACATTACCACTGCACCACAAAAACCCTAAGGCAGTGGGTTTTTATGATTGATGAACGAATAAGAGGTGGCGATATGATCAGGTGTGACAACCTGAGCCATTTTTACTCATGTCCAATTGCTGGGCAGCAGTGTGGTGGATGGAGAAAGTGAAGGGAGCTGGGTGCACTGACCCTGAGCCAAGTGCGTTCACCGAGAAAACAACAGGAAAGGAACTAAACGTCAACCGCTACCAGAGAAAGTGGAAACACTGACAGAGGACACGAGCAAATTTGCACATTACAATAAACACGGTTTATGAATAATGGCAATCCTCTGTGCCACTATGATCCTAAAGTGGTGCTCACATTCTGTTCTCTTACGGGGATGGGTGAATGACTCAGTGGAGGGTGGGACTAAAGGCACTGCCTTTACCAGCAGGGAGAGAAAGCTGCGACAAAGCATATGTGACACAAAGATATTTTCACAATGCTGTAATGCAAACTACAACACCATGCCACACCCTTACTCATCACTGCTCAATAAAAGCAGTGCCACGTTACATGGAGGTGTGAGGAACAATGGTCATGCAAAGCACAGCAGAGGAGGTAGTGTTAATGAGCTGTGGCACGTACCAGTCGAGAGTTAATGTCCTCAAGGGTCACTTATTGTTATTCTGAAAGATAATATCAAATAAAGATGGCAGATGGGCAAGGTCAAAGGTTACAGATCATGAAGACAAAAGTGCACATGAGCAGCTCTCCCTTTCTCTGGTTAATTTTCCATTGCACAAACAAGCCCAAACCAAAGCCCTCACCAGCCAGAGGTACAGGTGCCTAGAGAGGACAGACATTCATTGCCTGGACCAGTGTTATTCACCAACCTGATGTAACGACACCAAACTCTTGGCATAGGCTGTGCTCCCAGGCTGTGTCCTGCTCCAGAGGTATTCCGAACAGCGCTCCCAATACACCACCCCATAGTGTGACTGCCAGTCAGTGCGGTCAACTCCCCATACACTCAGCTCCTGGTTTCTAGCCTTGGACAGATACCAAGTGGAAGCCAAGCACTCTCCCAAGAGAAGCTGATGAGGTGGGGGGTTGGGAATGGAGGAACTACAAGTCTGATTTTTCTATCAAACTATAAGTCCTCTTTAGCTGTCATGTTTCCCATCCGGAGACTAGGATAACTCCTGCACCTTCTCACTGAACAGCAAGAGCCAAGAGGAACAACAGCGCTGTTCTTACAATATCTCACACAGAATGTGAAAGGAGCCCCAGACAGTAACAGGTGAAGAGAGATATTTTGCAAGTCCCCCTCCATGCCCCAACAGGCTGTGATATGAATCTCACTGGTCTAGACATTGCTTGCCTTTTTCGCAAGTTTTGGTGATGTGTGTCAATGTTTCCTGATATGACGATGCACATTACATAGCAAGGCAATTTACAGAACCTGGATGTTTGTCCCCTGTAGGAACCCATACTGGTCCCAGAGCAGTTCAGTCCAGGTCAGTTAGAACCCTTGCCGGTCCCTGCAAAAACAAAAGTTTGGTTATTACTAACACCGGTAATCTGCAACTTCTTTAAGAGCAACATGTTTGTTTTTCTTAGAGATAGTAAGAACTGCCGATGCTGGAGTCAGAGATAACACAGTGTGGAGCTGGAGGAATGCAGCAGACCAAGCAGCATCAGGAAAGCTGATGTTTCGGGTCGGGACCCTTCTTCAAAAATGGGGGATGGGAAGGGGGCTCTGAAATAAATGGGATGGGGGGGTGCGGTGATAGCAGGTATGTAGTGTGTTATCATGTTAACACTGTGTTGTCCCATGTTTGTTTCTCTTGTTGTATGTCTGTCCCAGGGACACAAGCCATCACTTGGTGCTATGGAATGTAAATGTTGCTTAAAAGAAGGGTGAAGCTTTTCATCTTGCACTCATCAGGACAGAAACAAGCATGCCAAATTTTAGTTTTCGCCTGTGCTCTAAAAGGCTGCAACTATCTTAGAATTTGACATTTTTTTTGCAATTGTCCTGATGACTGAAAGATAAAAACATGTTCCTGCGTTCAGGAATAATGTTTATTTCCCCTTCACAAACCTCCGCCTTCCCAATCTCTCCAAAAGGCATTAACTCCTCAATTGAGGTTGTACTTTCAGTCATGTACCTCTTTCTGCCTCCTTGCCCAAGTGACTATAGCTCGTGTAGGAAACTGATAGCAAGCTCCGATTTGGAACGTGCTGTTTGAAAGGATGGTGGAAGCTGATTTAAGGGTAACTTTCCAAAGGAAGTTGGATAAATATTCAAAAAGGGCAGAGAAACAAGTGACAGGGCTATGAGGAAACAGCAGGTGTGTGGGAATAATTGGACAGCCCAACTAAAGAGCCAGTACAGGCATGATGGGCTGAATGGGCTTCTATGTCCTCAGTCTTACAATCATACCGCACTGAAACAGATGCTTCGGTCCAACCAGTCCATGCTGACCATAATCCCAAACTTAACTAGTCCCACCTGCCTGTGCTTGGTCCATATTCTTCCAAACATTTCTGATTCATGTACTTAACTCTAATGTCTTTTAAATGTTGTAACTGGAGCTGCATCCACCACTTCCTCTGGCAGTTCATTCCACACATGAAGCACTCTGTGTGTAAAAAAGCTGCCCCTCATGTCTTTTTAAAATCTTTCTCCTCTCGCTTTAAGAATATGCCCCCCCTAGTCTTGAAATCCCCCCACGCTAGGGAAAAGACATCTGCTATTCACCTTATCTATACGCCTCATGATTTTATAAACCTCCATTAGGTCACCCCTCAACCTCCTATGCTCCAGTGAAAAAAGTTCCAGCCTATCTAGCCTCTCCCCAGAACTGAAATGCTCCATTCCCAGCAATATCCTGGTAAATCTCGTCTGAACCCTTTCTAGCTTGACAATATCCTTCCTACAACTGGGCGACCAGAACTGGACACTTCTTCAGAAGTGGCCTCAGCAATGTCTTGTCCAACCTCAATATAACTCATATACTCAAAGGTCTAAGCATTGAAGTCAAGCATGCTAAATGCCCTCTTAACCACCTGTCTATACGTGATGCTTATAAATTCGATAAATCCAGGTGTAAGCAGGCACATTGACTGGAGGGATTACTTTGTTAAGATTAACCTTGACAGATTAATTATGTCTGATAGTATCCTGGTTGTACTAGCTGTGAGCATGAGTGAAAATAGTGATCGTCAGGTATAATGCAGGTCACTGAGCACAACTATACAACCTGTAAGTCCACAAACCCCACTCCCTGAAACCTGAAAGCCAGGACAGACCAGGGATTGAACCTGTGACCCTCCAGTCCGCAGTTAGTCACTGGAAAAAGTGACTGACTTAAGTGAGATAGTAAGAACTGCAGATGCTGGAGTCAGAGATAACACGGTGTGGAGCTGGAGGAACACAACAGACCAGGCAGCATCAGAGGAGCAAGAATGTTGACATTTCGGGTCGGGACCCTTCTTCAGTCCTGACCCAAAACGTCAACATTCCTGCTCCTCTGATGCTGCCTGGCCCACTGTGTTCCTCCAACTCCACACTGACTTAAGTGAGCTCAGTTACGCCCAAGTAACATTAAACAAGCACATCAACTTACAAATAATCTGTGCATTGTTTGTCAAGGATTCCCAAACCTCAGATTGATCTGATGGTTTAAATCGTAACTGGGGTGTAATCGCTGTAAAATGCAGAATTTAAGACATACCTTCCTGTCATGTTTGCGTGTGCTGTGTTTTACGAACAACCCAGATTCTATAACTACAGTGATCAACCTGCAACAGTTAATCCCCAGATCCCCCCACCCACCTCTTGTTTTTTAAAATTGTCAAAGCACTGCTGAAGGCCACTGACACTGGCTATACTCCTTCCGCCTCAACCTCAAGGTCACCATTCTTCACGCCAACGAGCTATTTGACCAAGTGGTGCAGCACAAGCGAGCTGAACCTGACCCACAGGACATCCGTGGATCTAGGGGCATTGAAAACACACACAAACACATGCACGCACGCACACACAAGCACACACATGAACACACACAAACACATACATGAACACACACACACACACACACACACACACACAATTTTCTGGAAGCTGTTTTAAAAACAAGTTTCAAAGGGTATTGGATAAATAAATAAGGGAAACACTGACAGGACTATTGTGTAAGAAGAGGGAAATGGGACTAATTGGATAAAATTCAAAAAGCCGAAATAGCGATAAATGGCACAAATCTATATTGTTTTCACAGCAAATCTACTTCTATCCCTCACTGAAATCAAAACCTGTTTGAACTAGTTCTGAATAAAGGTCCCTGGACTAGAGATGTTAACTTCTGGGTCTCTCTCCCCGCATATGCTGCCAGACCTGCTGAGTTTCTCCAGCAATTCCTGCTTTTGTTTCACATTTCCAGCATCCACAGTCCTTGGTTTTATTCTATCCTTAAGCTTTCCCTTCCATCTCCTTCTATTCATTCACAATTAGCCTGATTAACCAAACCTTCATGACATTGTTTAGACAACACACCTATGTTAATTAACTAAAACAAAAGGCTGGAGGTGACAGGGAGTTACGAAGATGTTTGAATACTGTGAGATGAAAGGAGTCGAGCTGAGTAAGTGTGAAGTGGTTCCTGCTTATTTAGGGGTTTTGATGCACTCGTATATCACACATGTAACCTTAATTGTTAATGCTGTGTCTCATGTACACGGAGTGCCAACGCTGAGTCACACAGTGAGAGTTCCAAGGGTGATGGGATGTGACGTGAAGGAGCTTTCATGTAAAACTACATGAGCATTGCAGAACTAAGAAACCATTTTACAAAGCTATTCATCTTGCACTCATCAGGACAATTCACAAGAAACACCAAAGAGGAAACAACAGTGTATACATTTTCACTTTATAGCGCTACAGAAAAGATGCCATCAAACCTGAAAGGGTGCAGTAAATATGTACAAAGATGCTGCCAGGGTTGAAGGGTTTGAGCTATAGGGAGAGGCTGAATAGGCAGGGGCTATTTTCCCTGGAGCATCAGAGGCTGAGGGGTGACCTTATAGAGCTTTATAAAATCATGAGGGGCATGGATAAAGTGAAAAATCAAGGTCTTATCCCCTGGTTTTCCCCGAGTCCAAAACTCTAGGGCATAGATCATAAGATACAGGAGTGAAAATTAGGCCATTTGGCCCATCGAGTATGGTCCACCATTCAGTCATGGCTGCTAAGGTTCTCAACTCCATTCTCCCACATTCTCCCCGTAACCTTTGATCCCCTTAACATATCTTTCTCTGTCTTAAATATACTCAATGATCTGGCCTCCACAGCCTTCTGTGGCAATTAATTCCATAGATTCACCACTCTCTGGCTGAAGAAGTTTCTCTTTATCTCCATTCTAAAGGGTCTTCCCTTTCATTTCAGGCTGTGCCCTTGGGTCCTAGTTTCTCCTGCCAATGGAAACATCTTCCCAATATCCTCTCTGTCCAGGCCTCTCAGTATTCTCTAAGTTTCAATTAGATCCCCCCTCACCCTTCTAAACTTCATCAAGTATAGATCCAGAGTCCTCAAACGCTCATCATATGTTAAGCTTTTCATTCCTGGGACAATGTTCATGAACATCCTCTGGGACCGCTCCAGGGCCAGTACATCCTTCCTGAGATATGGGGCCCAAAACTGCACACAATACTCCAAATGTTGCCTGACCAGAGCCTTATAAAGCCTCAGAAGTACATCCCTGTTTTGAGATGCTAAGCCTCTCGAAATAAATGCTAACATTGCATTTGCCTTCCTGACTTCCAACTCAACCTGCAAGTTAACCTTCAGAGAATCCTGGTCTAGGACTCCCAAGTCCCTTTGCACCTCAGATTTCTGAATTTGCCTTCCATTTAGAAAACAGTCCATGCTTTTATTCTCCTTACCAAAGTGCATGACCTCACACTTTCTCACATTGTGTTCCATCTGCCACTTCTTTGCCTACTCTCCTAACCTGTCCAAACCCTTCTGCAGCCTCGCCACCTCCTCAATACTACCTGTCCCTCCACCTATCTTTGTATCATCTGCAAACTTAGCCAGAATGCTCACAGTTCCTTCATCTAGATCATTAATGTATAAAGTGAAAAGTTGTGGTCCCAACACTGACCCTTGTGGAACACCACTTGTCACCGGCTGCCATCCTAAGAAAGTCCCTTTTATCCCCTCTCTCTGCTGTCTTCCAGACAGCCAATCTTCTATCCATGCTAGCACCTTCCCTCTAACACCCTGGGCCTTTATCTTACTCAGCAGCCTCCTGTGCGGCACCTTGTCAAAGGCCTTCTTGAAGTCCAGGTAGATAACATCCATTGGTTCTCCTTGGTCTACCCTGCTCATTACCTCCTCAAAGAATTCTAACAGATTTGTCAGGCATGACCTCCCCTTGATGAAATCATGCTGACTTTGCCCTGTTTTACTGTATATTTCCAAATATTCAGAAATCTCATCTTTCACAATGGACTCCAACAGCTTACCAACGACTGAGGT